ATATATATATATATATATATATATATATATTCATATTCATTTGTGTGTGTGTGTGTGTATTTGTATGTGTGTATACTGTCAGGCCACAGCTAAAGAGGATTCTTTATAGAATCAATTTTTTGTGGTTGTTTAGTATACAAGTAAACTTAATTTTGATAATAAGAACCACAGCAATTGGAGGCAAGCTGCCTCTTTTGTAAGGTACAAAACTGGCACAGAGGACACCATATTTATTATACACTGTAAAAATGCAGTTAATTTTCAATTACGTCATACAGGGCAAAGAGTCCCTGCTCTCCCAGACAGGCATATTAAATGAAAGCCACCACAGTGAACTTTGAATTACATAAACATATTCATTATTTGATTGCCCTTTAAGAAAACATACGGTAGATGCAAAATATTTTTTTTTAATTTGAAGTTCTGCCTGACCAATTAAGCATATAAATTTCATCTTGCCATTCAAGCAGAAAGCACTGGACAAACTGAAGCACAAAACAGAAATAAGCAGAACTTATACAAACAGTATTTTTAAAAGGGAGAAAAAAAAGACTTTAAAAGCACGCATGCTCCTCTACTGTCAAGAAGCAGCTGGGTTTCCTTTGCCAGATATCCTTGTAACCACATGAATTGTTGATTCAATGGTCCTGCAAAGGATGTCTAAAATGTCTTGATGTTGCTGCTGCATGTGACTCAACAGTCCTCTGGAATGGCTGCAACTAAGTGATAAGCCAGACTCAGGGTCCTGGGAAGCTTGACTTTCAGAGTTCTTCAAATCTGTGAGGTCAGAAAGAACAGCAGAAATAGATGTGGAGGGGAATTCTGTATCATCCTCAATAATGTGAGAATCCTTGGAACTTGACGGCTCTTTCAGATCTTTACATTCTTCAAATCTCCCACTGCCCAGCTGCTCCTCCCCATGGTGTGAATGAGTAGCTAGCATCATATCTTCAGAAAATGAAGAGGGAACCTCCATACGGTACTCCTTAATAGAATTATTTTCAGGGGAAGGCAGGTCCTGTTCAGTGCCTGGGTCAATGATGGAGGAGTCTCTTGTCTCATTATCTGAGGTGCTGGTTGGAGTCAAAGCTTCCCTAGGTTCGTTTTTCAAATCGCTGATGCAACTGTCTACCGTATGCTCCTCATCACTGCTAACCCGTCTTCTTTTTACTGGAGTAGCTCCCTCATCATCTATACAGTTGAAATAAATATTGATGAAATAATACAGATATCAATTGTCGTAATGAATTATTTTTACTGGAAGAACAAAAATATTACATTCTTTTTATATATTTATCTTTCCTCCTCTCTTCCCAAAGGTGCTTTGAAATGTTTGAGAGCTTCTAACAGCTTGATATAACAAAAAAAATCTGAGTTATTTCAACCCAAATTTTGTTTAACAATCATTTGTCAATAAGATATCCATTTAATTAACTAATCAGTGCTAGTTATTTTATATACATCCAAGCTTTAAGAGCATTATCACTATCTTGTTACTCAACGTACATGATAAACTGGGTTCCTGTCAACAAGCAGAGAAATATTTAGTTTTCAAGCTGTTGCAAGACTGCTGATTTTACTTTGGCAGTTTAATAAGGGGGTATCCCAGAATATTTCCAGCTGAATAGTTCTCAGAACAATCAGTAGATACTTTCAGACAGGATTCAGCAAGGAAAAAAAATTACTTGTAAACTGACTGCCACCAATCACTTGGAAAGTGAGATGGATGGGCTATACATTTGATTAATAGATAAACAAAACAAACCTTTAGTTTTTCGTTCTTTGGCTTCTTGTTCCTGCAAAGAGCTTTTCTGTTGTTGACAAGTTTTGCATTTGTTTAATAGCTCTTGCAAAGTAGGTATTAGGGCAGGATTCAACTGTTTGGGGGTGTGCACAGAAAGCAGTAAAGTGAGAGCTCGAAGGTCCTATAAAAGAAAATTCAAGTCAATGCAGTTAATGAAATTCCGTTTAATAAATTAATTTTCCCTGTGTGTATGTAGAGATTATATAAATAGTAACCAAAGAAATTGCATATATCTTTATTCACACAGAAGAAAATTCTGACTCCTTTTTACATGTCAGTTTAAAATTTTGGATATTCTTTTATCTTGAATCCTGTATTTATAGCTTAAATCAAGAGGGAAGCAAGTGGAAAGTATTAACAATGGTGGTCACAGATATAAATCTAACAATGTTTAGGTAGTTTTATTGTATTATGCTCAGATGGGAGAAAGAGATGGCAGCATCTTTTACTATTAATAATTGATCTATTATAATTATTATAATAGATAAAACATATCACGATATAATGGAATATCATTTTACTAATATTATATTGAACAATAATATATAATCTCAATAATTATCTGTTCATTCATAGATAGTATTTTGGGGGGGAAATATGTATTTGTGTTAAATAAAAAGGGTTATAATGAGATTAAAAAAACAAAACACATAGTAAAATGGATATATTCTATTAAAAGAAGAAAATGGATATGTATATATGTATATGATGTTTTATTGATATATTTTTAACTGTTAACAAAAAATTAGCATTAGAACTAAGTTTCCATTTTATTCTCTCCATTCTTTTCAAAATGCCTAGTTTCAAAGCTTTTATTTTGGCTAACTCCCTTCTACTAAACATGTCACCTTTTATCATTTTCTAGTGTAACCCTCACCTTCTAAAACAGTACGTCACCCAGAGATAAGGACTGCATCCTCTCTCCTACTTTGCATATCTGGCCTGGGATTGGTGTTTATTATTTAAGCCTGTTTTGATGTTGTTGTTTATGGGATCATTTTAATCTAGGCTGCCTGATTTTTTTGTTTTTTGATGCTTTTTTGTTATTTTTATATGCCAAATATAATTCAAACATCTGGCTGACTATGCAATAAATAATCATCATCATAATTCAGGATGCAAGCTGTTCTTGGAACACACAGGCACCAACTTTTAGGTAGGTGAGAACTACTGTAGCAATTAACTTTTGAGCACCCCTTATATTTGGAAATTGAAAGTTAAAAATTTTATATATATATATTTAATACTTTGTGTGTGTGTGTGCCTGTGACTGTAGGATTGTCATTTTGAACATTTTCATCTGAGGAATAGAAAGAAAAATGCTTTACATAAATCAATACAATATTTGAAGAGAAAATAAAATTTATTTACCCCATTTAAAGTGGAACTTGCTTTAAAAATTTCAACTCGCTGATTGGCAAATTCTGATTCCAGATTCTGATACTGGTTGATCAAATTTGTAATCAGATTATTGATTATTCCAGCACAATTTGCTTCCGAAAATACTTGTCCTTGTACCTGTAAAATAAGGAATTCTGAAACTTAATTTGCCATTCGGTGAAATGATCTCATCATAGCACTATTTCCTACTGTAAACTGAATTACGCATGTGGAATTCACAAGAGTAAATATTTGTGGAAAACCAATTTAAATTGAAACTGTAACCTAGGCATAACTATTTTTCATACCTTGAGAAGGAAATGAGTTAAGAAAGTGTAAACAATGTTGTTGTTAAGAAATGTCCTCTCATCCATTAGGATGCATTTAATATACTCTGCAAACACAGGATCTTCACACAGGAGCTTGATGCAATTCTTTGACATGGAAGACTGAAAAGAGAGAGATCAGAGCTTCAGAACTAGTATTCCACATAATCATTGTGGATATGTGATTTCAGTTCGTTACACAGAGATGTTGCACATAAGCATTCATTGGAACTGCACTCAGAATTTTCTAAGAGCACCAGTCTGTAACAATTCCTCAGTGTCTTTCAGCCTGTCCTTTATTAATAAAAATAATAAATTGATTAAAATAAATTTCTGCTCACAATAAACTATTACATTTGGAGTTATTAGAATCTCAGCAACTTTTAGAAAAAAGTCTAAGTGTGCAGCAAGAGAAAGCCTGTATGGGAATGCCATGAATTGAAGGTAGGACTTTCTACATTCATCATGTCATTAAATGATGATCAAGCACACACCTTAACTTTTCAAATAAAAACATCCTTTTCAGAGATAAAATTAATTTTACCTGACTTTGACAAAGTTCAGTCCAAAGTTTGGGAAACAAAGCTAGATGAAGAGGTAAGCCTTCATATGCAACAAGAACACCTATATTTTAAAAATAAAAATGCAATTAAGTTCTTAAGATTATAAAGATATAGATATGCCAGAAATACAGTTGTTTAACTCTTAACAGTTAGGGAGAAAACTAGGTATCATGAGCAATACAAACTGTGACGGGAGTTGCAAGTTAAATAACTAAATAATTGATTTTAAAAGGCACAAACTACAGTTTAACTGCAAAATAAAACAATTCTAGTCACTACCCAAATGACCTTGTTCCAATTTCCAATCAAAAATCATGTTAAGTTTAATAGAAGTAATTTAAATATAAAAATCCTGTGTATATTTATTCCAATTCATTGTTTATCATGTTTAATCTTAGGTATATATGTAAATAATTACTCTGTCTTTCTAGTTTATTCTACAGTTAAGGTAGCAATGTAATACAATTTAAATAAAATTCTACATCTTTGAATTTACACATAGGCTTCTCCAAAAAGATAGCTATTAATTCATTTAATCCCAACTTGCTATTTTAGCAAATCAGTTGGAAAACTGAATAAAGCAATTCTTCATGTAATTTTTATAAAAGAGAAAATATTCATTAATATAATCTACTTACCTTCAATGAAATTTAAAAATTAAATGCTTATTAATTCTGATGTTGCAATTTACAAGGCTTGCTAAGCACTGGCCTATACTCTAAGGAACAGGCCTTGTCAGTTAATGCAGGGGCCCCTAATCTGTGGGCTATGGCCCACTAGTGAGCTGTGAGAGGTTTGCAACCAGGCCACAGAAACGGCTGAAGTGCACATCCTCACATGTTCCATTTAAGTGAGCAGCAGATTCATGTGCACGGCACTTGCACAAATGGAGCTGCGCATGTGCGCGTGCCAAATGTTTACACAGAACTATCCCCTTCCCCACTGGTCCACAAAGTCGAAAACGTTTGAGGAACTCTGAACTAATGTGCTTGTTAAATAAGCTTTTAGACATGCTACAAATTCTTACTTACTCATTTTCACTAAGGTTTCTGTGAATTTCTCACAGTTGATGGCAACTCGGCATAAAAGATGGATAAACTGGTGGTATGAAAAAAAGTAATCTAGTAGCATTCGGTCATAAACTTCATCTTTACCCTGAAGATTTAAGGAAAGTTCTGTTTACAAAATAAAAACATGAAAAGTATAATATCTAAATGTGAAAAATGAACTATTTTCAAAGAATTATGATAAATTCTTACTAAAAAACTACAGAACATGGTTCAGAAATTATTTGTTACAGAACTTGGGAATTTTAGGGATAATTAAAACTTACATAAATGTATAGGAAACCTAAGATGTTAAAAAGGATGCAAAATTTTCTTTTTTGCCACTTTCCCACTCCCACTTACAGACTGAACATATCTAGGATCCGAAGTATTTGTAAGGATTTTTTGGGATCAAAGATGTGAATGACAAGTAGAGGCATTTTTCTTTTTTCTCTCTTATGAAAACCACTATAATAAAAATGCCATTGGAATACATGTGTGATAAATTAGAACAATGGATATAATTAATTAAACCAAATACATTCAGCAGTGCAGTTCTCTTCCCAACAACCACATGACAATTATTCTTAAGACTCATCAATCAAGGCATACCCTTGATTAATCAAATGTTACATAAAGGAAACATTTACTTTCATGATAAGATAATTTGTTTTAATTTAATTTTAAATTCAAGATCCTTTTTTATTGTTGTAATGTTTTGTAGTGCACTTTAATTATATATTTGTAAGTCGTGCAGACAGTTTTCGTCAAGAGATGGATGGCATATAGATTTGATAAATAACTAAAATAAATACCTTGTTAGCTTCTACCATTGTAGGCAAAAGGCACATATTAAGTTCAGGGCGAGGTGGGCGGATATTACTTTTGCCTCCTATCAACTTCAGATTTTCACGGCATGGGAAATAAGGGCCAAGAGACACTGTAGTGGAAAGTAAAAAGGAGATGCATTAACAAAATGTGTACATTTTGTTTTTACAAGGAGTAGCCATCCCGATTCTCTGCCCCCTAAAAAGGATAATTTTAATCATAATTTTTTAAAAAAATATTTTTTCTTTGGGTAGATAATAGAAAATGTAGACAAGAATAAATTGTAAACTTGAAATTTTAAAGCAATTAGGTATATAGTTTACCCATTATGTTTTGTTCCTTACAAAAGCAATTAACCACTGTTATTTTATTTAAAGTAATATAACATCAACTAGAATGGAATAGAATAACAGAGTTGGAAGGGTCCAACCCCCTCCTTTGGCAGGAAACCCTATACCATTTCAGACAAATGGTTATCGAATCTTTTCTGAAAAACTTCCATAAATGTAAAACAATTCATGATCTACTTTTTATATTTGGCTGCTGCTAATACATGGAAATGTAATTGTCACTGCTATAAGAGGAGTCTATTCTCATCTTCTCATATCAGATAGATTGAAAAAAATCAACATTTATTCTGATGATCATATAGCAAAAGGCAGGGAGAAGACAAAAGACAACTTCCAGCTTTTTACCCCCAAGGATGAACCCTGCTACCTCATGGTACCGAAGAGGCAGCCCAGAATGAAACAATGGTTATTTCTTTCCTCTTTAAAGCTTTGAAGTAATAGTTTCGTGCCTGACACCCGAGTAGAAATTTAACCTACAGGCTTTTGTTTTTTCTTCTTCTTATATTGTTTCTATAGCAGAAACAATGATTCGCACTCAGAGATTTTATTATTATGTTTAGGTTTTCTAGCTAACTTAGAATAAGGAGGAAAACAGTACTCTTTATTACCCGCGCAGTTGCATTCTGCACCAGTTGAAGTTTCTAAATGCTTTACAGGGCAACCCCTGTAATGATAGTCTAGAGGTTATAAGGGCATGAGGACCTCCCAGTCCAGGCTATGCTAGGCTAAACAATCCTACATGCTTATAGGGTAAGGGAAACTGTAGTGTCCAGTATCTTGTTTATATATTTATATTTATATATATTATAGATCCTTCCTTCATTGTGGAAGATTTCCTTACCTTCGATCCTTTTTTGTTTTTTTACCTTTTCAGGCTTTTTCCCCTCTCCAACTTTCTTATGGAGATTAGTATTATCTGAATTATAAATAAAGTATAGGCAGCTCTTGACTTACAATCACAATTGGGACTAGAATTTCCATCCTTAGGCAAGTTAGTTTTTAAGCCAGTCATGCACAATTTTATGACCCTTTTTTGCTGTGAAATGCCCAAATTTGTCAAGCCCCTGAAATTTGATCAGGTGACACTGGGGAATGCTATAACAGTCGTAAGTGCAAGGACCAGTCGTAAGTCACTTTTTTCAGTGCCACTGGAATATTGAACAGTCACTAAGCAAATGGTTCTAAGTTAAGGATTTATATATTTGCTTACATGGATATGATGGAATTATTTTTAGGAAGAGTAATTGGCTCAAGAAAGGATAATGATGAGAGTAATGAAGTTTAGGAAAAAGAAGGGATGACTAGGTGTGTATCAGGGGACTTTCTCCATCCATCCATCCATCCATCCATCCATCCATCCATCCATCCATCCATCCATCCATCCATCCAGAATGATGATTTTGTCATCCAGAAACAATGCCTTGACAATATGCAGTTCACTGTAGGCAGAAGTGTCAAACTTGTGTTGTCACGGCAGTGCCACTTGATGTGACTTTCCCCCCCCTTTGCTAAACTTGGCGTGGGCGTGGCCAGTACATGATGCATCTGGCCCGTGGGACACCCTGCTCTAGGCTGCCTAAAATATATATTTCTAATTGAGAAGAGTACTTTTTCAATCTTAAGAGCAATCTAAGGGTAATAAGTTTAAAACATCTGTCAATAGTTGAATGATTCAGGTTAATTAGATTGATCATATTATTTGCATTTCCCATCTCACCTCTCAAACTACTTCCTGCCTCAAAGTAAATCTCAAAACAATTTTATTATAAATTAATATTTCTATATAAAAGTATAAATAACCTTCTCATCTGAATATACATACTTGGTATGTTGCTATGATGGTATGTGCAATGGTTGTGCTGAAGAAAAGGAACTAAAGTGTGCAGAAAATCATGAGGGCTTAACAGCACCAGTTCTTTGAGGACATCTGCAAAACAAAAAATAAAAAACCCTCATATTTAATTATTTATTCATTGGACTTATGTAGTACTTCATGTCAGCAGGATTATGCTCTTAAAAAGAAATCTTCACTCTAATAAACTTTGCATAAACATTTGTATAAATTCAAACTAGGAAAAACCTAAACACGATCAGACTGTAATTATTTGCTATCATTTAGCCAATTGAGACAATTTCATGATTCATCAGAACATCTGGTTCAACGTCTGCCTCTTCCTGTGAGTAGGACAAATTGCTAATCACTACCTTTGTCATCCAATTAATATTTCTAGTCACAGTTTTTACCAAGGCATGTTGCTACTGATTGAACACAGAGTTAACTATTATGCTACTTATGCCTTCATTTTGGACAAACACCAAGTACTACAGTTCTTAACCAAATTTGGTCAGACATTAGTATTTGAATGGAAGGCCACCAGAACTATCAGGCCCTTAAACTAAACTGAGAAATTAAAGGTAACATCTGGATGGCAAAACTACTTCCATCTTACTGCAAAAAGATACATGGGCCTGTGCATGAACTCACTATTATTCTTGAGAAGTAACAGAGCTGTAAGTATAAGTAAAACTGGGAAGAAAAAAACAGACACTAGGAAAGTAGAAAGAAAGAATAAGAAGACTGGCCAACTAGCCTCAGATGGATGGAATTTATTTTCTTTTTTATTATTTTTAGTTTGTATTAGCTTTTTTATTATAATTGCAATTGTAAATAAAATTACCATAAAAAAGTGAAACTATCAATGTTGACAATGATTTGATGGCACATAATCAATCAGTCAATCAATCAGTCAATCAATCATTCATTCAAGCCTTATTCTTTAACTCTATTGACCATAATTATAACAGAAATGGAACAGTGTCTATTTTATCTTTAATGTAATTGATGGGTAATCTGAGATCAAAAAAAGTGCATTATGTTTAATATACTTTACCTATACAAGCATTTCTAAGTTCTGGAGGACTGTAGGAATTTAACAAAGTTAAAAGTTTATGGGCAAATTCTATCCGCTCCTGCCATTGGATAAGGGCTTGTTTCACATCTGAAAATATACAAGCAAATTAATTTAGTTTACAACTCATACAAGCCATATAAACAGCTGATTGATAGTGACAATTATGTTTTAGTTCTCATCTGTTTTATTTTTAAAAATAAAACTTACATTTAATAAATAATATCCAAACCTTTTCTTTGCAGATATGGACGAGTGGATTTCAGGACGGAAAGAAATATGGACAGAAGCTCAACCAGATCTCCAGTTACATGGCAAGCTGTGGCTTCATGGTACATCATGTGCAGTGTATTGAAGGACTGCCAAATATATATAGCATATTATTAACATATAAAGATAGAATTCCACAAACAAGATATCCTAATTTATCTTATTTTGCAATATCCCACCAACCAAAAGGGTAAAATAATAACAATAATACTCCTACCTCAGTCATCAGGATTAAGCCTCTGTTAAATATGACAAGAAGCCGATCCTCGTCAGTTTCTAATAATATTCGGAAGGCACTTGGAGCAAAACAGTAAAGAAAAGAGAGTTGTAAGGTTACAGTGGTTGCATCCTAAACAGAAAGCACATCATTAAAATAAGCTATGACACATCTAGATAGCTTATTAAAAAGTAGAGATATCACCTTGCCGACAAAAGTTTGTATAGATAAAGCTATGGTTTTCCTAATATATTCCTAATGTATTTCCAATGTATTGCTGTGAGATTTGGATCAAAAGGAAGGCTGAGTGCCAAAGAACTGATGCTTTCAAATTGTGGTGCTAGACAAGACTTGTTCCTTGGATTGCAAGATCATATCAGCCAATCCTAAAAGAAATCAACCCTGACTGTTCTTTGGAAGGACAGATACTGAAGTTGAAATACTTTGGCCACCTAATAAGGAGAGAGGACTAATTGGAAAAGATCGTGAGATTGGGAAAGATTGAAGGCAAGAAGAGAAGGGGATGGCAGAAGATGAGATGATTAGATAGCGTCATCAACACAATAAATATAAACTTGGGCAAACTCCAGGAGACAGTGGAGGGCACAGAAGCCCAGTGTGCTATGGTCTATGTGGTCATGAAGAGTCAGACATGACTTAATGACTGAACAACAACAACAAAGCATGTTGCAAGAATAAAAGACATGGAAAAGCACCAAAATCACTTTATAAACTCTAACATTTATTCTAGATCAACACACCAAATGTGAAATACCTTATTAAAGTAGTCCAGCATGACCGCCCATCTAAGCAGCGAAGGTAACAGCTTATAGTCGTTTTTTTAAATTGCTTAATGTCTTCCAGTTCTTCCTCTCTCATATCAGGCCTCTGAGCTACGAAGAGTTGCATGAGATTAAACAGTTCTTCCACTGCCTAAATAAAGAGAAGAAATATCATAAGGTTTATTGAAAAAACAAACAAACCCCCAATTCCATTTGTTTATTATAAGATAAATGCTTTAAAAAGACAAACAGTATACCAAAGGTAGTCATATTGTACTGCCATTAAAAAAAATGCTCTCTTGGTTTCACATACTCTCAAGCTTTACTTTTTTTCTATAATACTTCCTTTTCTAGCTCTTCAACTTGAACTATGTTTAAAACTGAAAGAAAAATGGACCAAACTAATACAAATAAACACAGTGAATCTTAATTTAAATGGACCAGTTCAGGGAAGATATCCACTACTCCTGAAGATTCATTAAGTATGATGATATGCTAGTTACATAACCATTTGCAAATCACATAAAAGATATGGTTAACATTAATGTAATTGCTTCATATGAATTCCTTTGGGGGCATCATTTGTTTATTAATTCAGGGGCACATCTGGATGAAAATCTGGTCCACTGTATTCTTAATCTACTAAATTGGATCCTTTAATTCCAAGTTTACTCTATGCTGGTTTATTACTGAAAACTGGATTTAGTATATATTTTATATATCATATGCAAAGGTTTCCCTGTCAGTCATGTCCAGCTCCATGGCTAGGTGCTCATCTGTTTCTAGGCCGAGAGAGAGAGTGTTGTCCAAAGACAATTTCTGTGGTCATGTAACCAGCGTGGCTATATGCCAAAGGCACATGGAACACTGTTACCTTCCCACTGAAGTGGTACTTATTAATCTACCTGCATTTGCATGCTTTTGAACTGCTAAGTGGGAACGTGCAGGGGCAAGTAACAGATCAGCCCATTGAGCGGAGCTGTCGCTCTGCAGCTGACAAGCTCAGCATCTTTTAACTGCTGAGCCATCTGAGTGCCCCTCCCTTATATCATCTCTCGCTTTCGTCTGCCTATCTTATATAGTTATATACAATAATGTTTTTTTATATATTTAGTATAAAAGAGCTATTTTGTTTCTATACCATTCTTCCTATTAAAAGAGCAAAGAATTGTTTTGCTTCTTGAACTCAAGGTATATTTTGCCTCCTTCAGAGCAGTCATATCGTATGCATTAGGAAGGGAGAATGGCAGTGATCTCAGTTGTAGAAGAACTCCCCCAAAACTGACAATTCTATTAAGACGATGGGGCAATAAAAACGTATGGCACAAAATTAATTGTACCATATTTGTGTATGGCACAAAATTAATTGTACCATAGTTGCCATCAGACAATGACAGAACTGCTGGTAAACTGGATGAAAGCACTGTTGCAATTCGATTAAGCCCGTCTTCTGAGAATTTTCTGAGTTTAAATTAGAGCCGAATATATTTTCACCTTTATCAACTAGCTTCTTTGGATCTGGCAAAGAGATACAGCTTTATTTTCTGACATTTCATTCATGTGAATCACTTACCCCCTAAAAATAATGCTCCATAAACTGCTGCTGTTAATGCTGTTCTGAAAAATCTCTTTCTGCCTTTCACTCTGCATGAATTTGACTTACCCCAGGATATTGGCTGGCATGTGGTGTGAGATTCTTAAATGCCCACTGGATATTTTGATGAGAAGCCAACTGTCTGGTAAATGCAGGGGATTGCTCACAGCATAGTCGCAGAATGCCATAGTAGGCAGGTAGCATCCCACGGTTAAAAAGCACCACATCCTGGTCATCATGATCTGCTAGGATGTAATTGAAGGCAATGTTCTTGGTCACCACTGGATTCTGCACAATAAGGCGCACGTTCTCAGGGCAGTCAACACAGACATTGTACCAGAAAGAGAGCAGGGCCTGCTTATTATGGTTGGTAGCAATAGCAGGCTCAGAAAGTTTAGGCTGAAAGAGGTTCCATAAATCCATGAAATAAGTAGAAAACATTAGTTTTTCTGTTTTGGAGATCAAGCAGTAAGTCATAAAACTGAAGTAGGGTACCAGTTTAGTTGTTCCATGCACAGCAGCATCAACATAAAGCTTAGCTCTTGAGAGCAGTCCAAGCAACACATTATACACTTGATGAAGAACAACTGTGGTATCTGGACTAAGAGGAAGATCTCGAGTAGGGATATGGAGTGAACGGGTGGATCGGAACATTTGTCGGAATGAATTGCTTGGAATAAGAGAGACCAGAAGATAAGCTGCAGCTGCAAAAGAATAAATACACAGGTAAATAAAGCAGGTAGACTTTGGCTATGCACATTCACTTTAAAATAAAATTTGTTTTTTTGTTTTGTTTAAAATTTGTTCACAAAACTATATGACACAACTTAGAAAAGAAAAATATAGTTATTGGCAAAGAGATCACAAAAACAAGCAATGCTGAGAATTCAGTTCCTTTCTTTCTAAATTGTTGCAAGTAATACTGAATATATTGAAATGAATATTTGGAAATATTTCACTCATTTTCTTTTAAATGTTGTTTATTATAATATTAGGAAATAAATAAAATAAAACGGCCACATTTTCACACATAAATAATGAACTTATCAGAAAGTAAGAAGGCAATTCTTTTCTGCTTAGCAACTTACAGGTTCTCACTCTTGGATAGTTATGAGCCAAAAGAAAGCGTTCTACCCAGTTCTCCATATTCTGCAGGACCCAACTGTGAGCAAGCTTATTTCGTGGTGTCTGCACTGCCAGCCAATCCAGACACTGAGATGGGTTGTACTCAATCACCTACAAATATTGGGAAAATGGACAAACATCATGAACAAAAAAACAAAAACAAGACTATTATCAACAAGACTATATATCAACAGCTCAGTTAGTAAAACAGGCAGGCCGAATCTTTTACTACAGGAGTTCCCAACCCTCGGTCTGCGGACCGGTAGGGAACTCACCCAAAAAGCGGAAGGCAAATGTGCACAATACTACCCCCCTCCTACTGGTCTGTGGAGCCAGAAAGGTTGGTGAGTGCCGTTTTACTAGTTTATTTACTAACTGTGGAAAAAAGGCTGCCAAAGTACTATATTCTCTGTCAAACAATAATTTTTATTTCCACAGTCTATGAGTGTAAAAATTAAGTCTAATAATCTTTACAGCATAGACATTATACTTGTTATTTTCTCTCAATATTATAGAGACATGACAAATCTTTTGAGTGTATTTAATATAGACATCCTTTACCTCCCATATCCTTTGGAGAATATATGATGCAAATGGTGGCATTCCTGGAGGTCCACCAGCAAATTCCATAAGCATAGTTAACAACTTGAAAAAAGGATTGGCTGCCTGAAATTGAAAATAATAAGAAAAAATATATATATATACATATACATATACATATACATATACATACACATACATACATACATACATACATACATACATACATACATA